CCTGGCGGGACGCTGGGGTTCCCCCCAGCCTCAAGGCCATTTTTTTTTCTTTTTTTTTTCTTACTTTTTTTTCTTTTTTCTTTTTATTTTTTTATCTCTTTTTTTCTGTTCTTTTATTTTTTGTTCTCTTTTCTTTTTCCTTTTTTTTCTCTTTTCTCTTTTCTTTTCTTTTCTTTTCTTTTTTTTTTTTTTTTTCAGCAATTACAAACAGTTTTTTTTAAAATTCTTTTCAATTGTTTTTGACTTTATATTTTTTATGTTTTTAAAATAAAATGATAGTCACAATAAATCCCCCCCAAAAAAACTCAAACAAGATGCAAAAGGATTGTAATGAACCTTGCAGTCAAACTAAGTGAGGAAGAGAGGGGAGGTACCCGCGGTACCTGCCAAAAGTACCGCCGGTACCCGCCGGGAGGTGCCTGGTGCGGTACTTGGTACCTATTTTCTGAAAAAAATCAACAGGTACCTAGGTACCAACAGGTACCCGAGTACGAACGAACGATCTCTAGGGCCCTGGAAAGGCCTTGGCAGCAGATTCACAAGCTTTACAGTCTTGTGTACAGGTTTCAAGGTGCAAAAAAGTGAGGCAAAAAATGGGATCCATGGAGCTTGTTACTAAAAGCTTTCTGGGAAATACTGTAATGAGAGGTAAAAACATTCTGATTCATGTATTGTTTTTATAAAAATGACTTTCACCTCTACCAAGCTACAGCAATTCAAGAATCTGCCCAGGGTAAACTTGGCCTTTCTTCTCTTAAGACAGTGAATTAGTGTAGCACTTTTTTCACTCAAATAATGCAGTGTGAGCAGGTTTTTTGCTGTGCCATGGGCTGCAAATTGCCACTTTTTTCCTCTTAAAGTAAAAATGTTTCTTAATCGCAAGAGTAATGGAAATACATTACTTTGGATAACAAGAATAAATTTCTTGTCTTAAGAAATTATTAGTTAATCCTTTTTGTTTGATGAGTCTAATGAAGAATCAACATCGATAGACTAGTTAGTTTAAATATCTCTTTTTCTTTAAAAGAAAAAGGCAATTAATTCTTTTCCTTTTTACTCACCGATTAACGGCGGAAAGATATGAGTAATAAGTTTGCGTTCAATAGGCTTGTTTGAGTAAGAGCTAAAGATTTTAATAATGATGTTGTAGAACAAAGAATCAGAACTCAATTGTTCTCTTGTTCTCATTCTTTATTCTCTTGATTCAACTCATTGAGACTCACCTAGAGCTTGATGATTGATCATGATCATCATTTATCTCTTTGCTAGTGACGTCAATGACATCACTGCTCAACGCATAAGATTTAATCACACCTTTCTCTTGTTCAACTGCTGAACAGCTTATTTCTGCTGATAATCACACGCTTCGTGATCAGCGCTAAGAATTTATTTTTCTCTTCAGGAATTTTATGAATCATGCAATAAATTCACCTGATGCTCTCCTCTTTTGAGGGATCAGACAAGGAATTGAATTCCAACATTTCTCACTCCTCAAGTGTCACAATACGTAAGTTCTGTAAACTTCAGTCTATCCCCTGTCTTTCTCAAAATTAGGGGCCCTGTAAGCAGTTTTCCACTACAGAATGTTAACCAGAGCTGTCAAAGGTGTATATCGGGGTCATTTGTGGATAGTGGTGGCACAGACTGGGCAGAATTTTGCTATGATAGGCTAAAGAATCACAGAATTGCACTAAACCACACTTATATGCTAACACTAGCACTGTCACTTCCCAAAGCAACTGCTTGGACCGGCCAGTCCAATGAGTCCTTGGTCTGACCCTTCAAGGCATTTCTTGGGCATGGCTGTCCACCAAGAGGTCAGACTTGCCTGTCTGACCAGATGGTACCACCTGCCAACTGCTTGAACGGGCCCATCTGCCCTCTCATTGGATGGTGATGTCCAAGAAGTTCTCAGACAGGCCGGTCCAAGGACGTGCTGGTCCAGCAGGTGCAATCAATTAATTTTGGAAGTATGTAACTGATACAATACACTGTGTGTATCATGAGGAATTCTGCAAAGCTGCATGGCCAAAAACCACTTTTTTGCATCTTCTGGAAAATAAAATCACATTTGTCAGATAATTCTGTTATTGGGGTTGAAATACATGGCAGATACTGTATCTGTTTCAGCATTGCTCACACTTCCATTAGTGTAGCTGACCCGGGGATCCTTCAATATGATTGAAATTACTCAGGCCCCAACCCAATCCTCCCTCATATAAATCTTTGAGATTTGTAAGAGGAAATAGGTGAAAAACCCACCACCACTTTCTAATTGAATTTTGTTTATGTTCTCCTCTACTAAAGTTGGGCTTGCATCCAGTGTAGCTAGAAGAAGTGCATATCCTCTTGCAATAGCTGATGGTGTTAGTGGGGCTGTTTGGAAGCTTTTCAACCCAACCCAACCCAACCAAGCCCATCCTCACTTCAGAATTTTCAAGTTGGGCTTGGCTTCCACTTCTTGAATTCCCTGGAATCTATTTGGCTTGATGACTTTCCAGAGGAAGTGTTGCTGTAAATCAGCTTCTTGTTTATTGAGGCTCCAGGAATTCTGAGCTATTTTTCACATTTAAATCTAACCTTGCCCTTTCACAAGATATGCATAATGCTTTCCTTCATATTTTCACTGGTTATTCTCAAACTCTTGCCAATCCTGGGACCCATCCACTGTTGGATTAATGATAGAATATCATAGCATAGTGTATCTGCACTAAACATACTGGTTCTTGCAATGCTGGTTCTGTTAGTATATCAATTGATGACACTATTCATGCTTGAATGCTCATAACAGGGTTAATAACAAAGATATTGGCTCAATAACACTTACACACTGGCTTGTGACATAACTGTGAGCCAATTACAACTATTTGCCCATTTCAGTCTAAAATCAGCATCAAGCTACCAGTATTGGAAAAAAGGTGGTACATGTAACATAACAGGCCCAATCACATGATCACCGGGAGGAAGCAAAAGATGGAAGCTCCTACCTGTTGTCTGTCCTCCTCTTTGCTGTTATAGCATCAGGCCGTAACAAAGTGTGGCATTGTCCAACACGTTTGTTGGGGAGTTTTTCTGAAAAGACATTTACCCTGCAAGATGTAAGCTAGGAATTTGGGCTTTCACTCATGAGTAGTCCCCGTCCCACCCGAGCTCATCCGGAATTACCCGAGGGTCCTGTCCCCGAAAACGTCGGGGACCCGCACCAGTCTCTCAAACATTGCGTCAACTCACACCAAAAGAAGAAAACACCAACCAGGACAGGATATGAAGTAACCACCGGAACCAAGTGGACTAGCTAAGGAGTCGTTCCGGGAATCAGCATCACTTCATTCCGCCGATGTCAAAATCCATAAACCAGTCCGAACGCTCATTCTCGAAAAAGTCCCTTAAAAGGAAGAAATCTAGACTGGTATGCAACTCTTCTTTCCATTCCAATGTTCAAATCATCAATTTGTCAAACTGAGATCTGGGTAATTTATATTGCACATGATGAATTGGGAAATTTGATTCTAGGTTAGTATCGTGCCCTCGTGTAGATATTCGAAAGACTGACTCAGGCTGGCTAATAAAAACACTCAGGCGAAACTCATAAACTGTGGGGGCTACATTCTCAAGATTGACACATAGAACCAGCCCACCGACTCTTGCAAATCAAGTTTTAGGTCTCAGATTGAAAAACCAAACAAAAAAACAGAAAACTCAAGCGAACAGAACTAGAAAACATCCTCAAAACAAGAAAAGAGACGAGAGAGAGGACGAGAGAAACAAGATGCAGTTAAAACCCAACTCGAGTAAAGTGGAAGCGAAGTTGAAGATCATCAACACCACGATAGATGCATTGAAACAAAACACAGGAGATCGATGGAAGACGATAAGACAACTAACGAAGCAACAAACCCAACAAGTAAGAATGAAAAAAAAGACTTTCGAAAGCCACTGATATCCAATGAACCCTCACTCGTGCTGATCTTTTTTTTTTTGTCTTGATTCTAATTTCGTGACAGAATGCGAGTCTGGTTCAAAGCGAGTCTTCAGCCCCGTCTCGCGATCATCCGGCTATCCCCGTATGGACCCAACGCATGGACACTTTGTTCGGACCCGTGAACGATCAACTTCGGTTGATCAAGTGCGACAATTGCGGAATTATGACTCGAGAGACTAACTCTAAAGTCGGTGTCACTCATAAACGTTCGTCCACCTCCCTTATCATCCTCCTCTTTCTTTTTTAATTTTTTGGGTTTTTGTTTTTCTGATTGACATTGATTAAATTAATGTAAATTATGTGTCCTTATGGTGCGGATTCAGTGAATTGCGAAATCTTGAGGAAATCTGGGTCGATTGGAGTGGGCGGATTGATGAATAAAAAATTCGGTGGTCTTAGTAATCACTTTTCGAACTTGGAGTCTAACTCGAAAAAAAGAGCCTCTTCGGAAGGTAAAGTTCCTTTCTCAATCATTCTGAGATTGCCATAAAGCCTATGGGATTATCAGCAAACTTGATGAAAGAACCAAAGCTAACGTCCCTCCTTTTTTCCAAAAAAAAAAAAAAAAAAAAACTCCCTATGTGAACAGTATCACTAGATTCGATACCGATGAAAAAGAAGAAGAAGACGACGATCATTGACCATACCCAAGCAGGCGTGATAGACCCCGATGGCCCCAACGTGATCAACGGGATCCCTATGACACAGAAACAAATCAAGAAGGCATTGGCAGCCGCAGAAAGATTAGAGCGAGAGAACGAACGAAAGGAGAAAAAGCGCTTGGAAGAAGAGGCTCGGAAAGCTAAGAAACTCAGTCGTGCTAAAGGTCCATCCAATTTTTTTCTCTTACTCTGACTTTCGATTCACTCTGGTTTGTCACTGAAATAGAGAAGATACGACGGAAGTTCTGACTTAGTTTTGTTTTGTTCCCTTTTTTGTGGCTTCTTTAGGAGGACCGGTGAACGTCAATGAACAATGTGGAGTATTGGTGCCTCCTAATGATACCCCTTGTGCTCGCTCGTTGACCTGTAAGACTCATTCGATGGGGGCTAAGAGAAGTGTTCCCGGTCGAAGCGCTCCTTATGATGTTCTACTGTCAGTTAAAACGCTCATCCAGAATACTGATGATTTTCATTTTTCAAATATGTCCAATCAGCTGATCTTATTGGTGTGATGTTTTGACGGTTCTAAAAAAACCTTATAAATCCAAAACGATTGGAAACAAAGAAATGAATGGCAAAAGAAGAATAATCCAAACTGGGGTGATAGGAAGGTAGTAACGCCACGAGTAGGACCAGGAATTGAGCCCGGACTGTCGAAGAAGAAGAAGAAAGAACTGGCCAGTTTAGCGAACAAAAATACAAATAATGGTGGGAACAAGCGGGATGAGAATGCACCAACAAATGGATCGACCAACAACAGCAGTAACAAGAATCAATCCGGGAACGGAACGAACGGGAATAACAGCAACAGTAAATCAGGCCAAGCCAAGGATAAGGATAAGACGAATAACTCGGCGAATCATCATGCTTCGAAATCGGCCAATGGAGGAGCTACGAAGTCTTCGAATGGTGGTGGTGGGAATCAGGGGGGGAATGGGCCTGGGGGAGCGAGCAAGAAATCGGGTGGCCTTCCCGGCCAGAGTTCGAAGGGCGAGCATGGACGGACGACGTCTGCGAAGCTATCGGCGGCCAATGAGGCGAAGTTACTGGGAGAGTTAGATGCAGATTTCTATCTGGTCGTACCTCCGAAGAAGAAGGTCTTGCCGACCGCCGCTGTCCGTCCCGACCCGATGGTGGACAGGGACGGGGATACGACGATGGCCGGGCCGGGCCCCCAGGAGGCGCCTCCTGCTCCGGTAGACCCGATCGAACATAAACAGATCGACTCTGATGATGGCTCAGAAGAGAACGAGAGTGACGAGGAATTCGAGGCGGTCATCCGCGGCTTGATCGTCTCTCAGACCTTCCTCAAACCTATCTCTCTCCTCTCCTCCGACTCCAATCCGAAGAACCTCTTCCCTCTTCCTCCTCCCTCTTCTTCTTGCTCTTTACCCTCTACTCAGTGGTCTAAATTTGCTAAGTTGGGCGTCAAGGAAAGCTTCAAAAACTCTTTCAAACTATAACTTTCTTCTTCTCAATTCATCCCCCCCCCCTCTCTCCTTCTCTCCTGTCCCTTGATCGAGACTCTTCCTCCTTTCTACTCTATGCGTGTGTGTACTATTTACCAACTACCCTTGGACTTCTCTTTTTTATTTCTTGTTATTGTTTGGGTATGTTCAAAAGAGACTTGTTTGTAAGTTTTCGTTTTTTTCGTTTGGGTCAACAGATATTCTCTTTGATTTCATGTTTCATATCCGTGTGTACGTAGTGTGTGTGTAATCTGGTCTCCTTGAAAATACATAGACATCAAGAGAGTGAATGTGTGTAGGTTGATTTTTCTGGGTTGATGGATAAGTTTCATTAAAAGTGATGGAGCCCCCCGGGGGACTGTCATCCCAGATCGGAGAGTGATGTCATCGGGGGCATGATGTCACCGAGCTGAGGGTACCTAAATACATAGTCAGCCAATCACGGTCAACAGCGAACCAACTTACATATCTTAGTGGGAGGATGGTCATCAAAGCATTGAACTCAGAAAACTTGAAAGAACTAGAACAAGAGACGGAGAGGAAAGAGTCAAAGAAGAACAACGAACAGACCAGTCTCATCATCAGATTCCTTGATCAAGCACAACCGGGAGAGAAACCAACTGGAAGGTCTAGGACTAATCGATCGATCGGCTCATCGATCCCATTGGAACCACGAGTAGCCAACTACCACCGCCATCCTCAAATCTCAGCCCAAGAAGACCATCAATCATCGATCGTCGATCGAGCACAACGTAAACTTGGTTCTCTCACTCCTTTGTGACCATACACATGATCTAGGCTGAACATCAGATCCTTCACTTTTTCTCGTTTTTTTTTTTTTCAGTATTGAAGTCCAGAGCAGAAAATCGATCCTCAAAGAAAAAGAAAAAGAACTCAGAGACTCATTCCCAGAAATCTTCTCAACCTAATAAACAGATCAAGAAGAGGAAGGTCAGCGCTCTGTCCTCGAGTATCAAGCATTTACCTGACAGTCTACCCAACCCAGGAAAATCTAAAAAATCCCGATTGACGGTGCGATTGAGATTTTCTTAACAATTATCGTCGGGAAAACGAACTGATCTCAGGTTTTGGATGTGTCTCAGATCGACCGTCATCTTCCTTCGCAAGGAATCTTCAAAAAGGCTGTCTATGGCTCGGCAGGTCACACAAAACGACGTAACACGTGGGGTCAGCTTCGATGATCCTATGCCCTATGGTCATCCGGAAAAAAAAAAAATTGATTTGGTTGATCAAAAACTGATTATGAACATTTTTCTTATTTTAGGAGGAGATTTGACGTTTAACGAGTTGGGTTTTTTGGATAAAGAGCGCAAATCTCGACCAAGAAAGGAGGAGAAAACGGAACAAATCAACAAGAAGGGACGAAAGAAGAGCTCATCCCACTCGAACATTAGTACTGAAAAAAGGAAAAACACCATTTCTCAAGCATTATCAAAATCGTCACTCCATCCATCGGGTATCGATCCATGTAAGATACGCCAAGGGAATGGCCCTCGGAAATCTTTTAGTCCGTCTACTCGTCGACATTCAGGAATGCCATCTTCGGGCCACTCGGCTTACTCATTACGGATGCGGGAGAAAGCAGCCAAACAAACTCCACAGCCTGTCCCATCTACCTCTCACCAACCTGATCGAGAAGAAACAAAACAGGTCTCCTACCCATCAGAACACCGAACCTGCCCCACCGATCAGACCCAGGATGGTAGACATACTCATCGACTAGAACAGCCACCCGTCGAGAAGAGTCGATCGCATAAGAAGAGCCCATGCCAATCGCCTCCTTTGAGTTCTTCGAGTCACATCCGCTTGATCATCCATCAGCCGTTCTCTTCTCGGTCGAGCTTGACAGATGTAGCTGGTGGGTATGCAAACCACTCGTTTACCCAGACACCCCACAGATCGTCCGTCGGCATGCTCAGCCCTGACGATCGTCTCTCTCCACGAACCCTCGCCAGTGATTATCCGGGGATGCCTAATAGGATTGATTACCAGGACGAGGGAGAAGAGGAAGAGAACGAGGAGGAACATTCAGCTTTTGATCCTCTATCTATCCTGTCCGAAGGATCTGAGTTCCTTCAAACTGACGAAAATCAGTGCTATTTGGCGGGACAAAGTCTTCCAGAAGAACACTATTCTAGACCTTTTCAATCTGGTAGACCGGTTAGCTTTTTAGAAGAGGCTCAGGTCGGGCCCGAGTATCACAATCTAGGCATTGATTCTCAAGAAGAGCAAGTCGAAAGCGACGTCTACCAAGACCTGCTCGCTGATCGACCAGAACTCTTATACGATCAGGACGACATCGACGTCGATGTCGACGAATATTACGGTGATGGTATTCTTCCTTCGGTTGATGACGATGACTATGGCGGTTATTCGGGCCTAGAAGCAGATCGAGCTCACCAGACGTATCAAGCTTATCACGAGTGGCTAGACGAGGACGCTGACGAAGGTGTCGAATGGCGGGAACGTGATCCTCCGAGCTTGGAAGCGTACCAAGAAGATGATGTGGTCGTCTCAGGGTCTGAGCTCGACCCTCCCGGACTGGACGTGTATTCTCGAGCCTACATAAACGATAGGTACTTGGTAGAACCAGTCGTCTATTATCGGCCTGCGTATTCAACATCTTCGGAAGACTGGCTTCGGAGCTCTGTCTGGAGTGGTTATTGACCCCCTTTCTCTCTCTCTCTCTCTCGTTGTACCACTGATCTGTTGCGCAGTTGTTAGTTTTGCAATTCCTTGACAAGTATATACATATACATGGGGTGGGCGGAGAGTTATCATTAAAAAAGTGTCCCTTGTTTGTGTGTAATGTTGTATGCCTCTGTAATGTCACCAAACCATCATCCTGGCTTTCTTCGATTTAATTACTATTGTGTTTGAAAATTCTCTGTAGTTGATACTAATGTAGTACAACACCTTGTTAACAACCTCTTCTCTTTGTTTGTTCTTATCGTTAGGTAGGATGTATAATAGCAGAGGAAAGATTGGTGATGCACAATATTCCTTTTTATGCATTTTTTTTTTACTTGTCGACAAGAATTGGAAGAAATTGGGTGGTGGATGGAGTCAATCATGAATAGATTGTGAAATGTAGGATGATATCTTGCCAGAAGGGGATCTATTTTTTTAAGTGCGATTCTATGGCATTGCACACTATGAATCTACTGTAATCTTATCTGTAAATACACTACAGGAGGAGAAAAGAGAACAGCATGGAGAATATCTGGGCGATTGAGACCAGAAGGGGATTGAATCAATCTTTAATCTGAAAGTCTGGGGGATTAGAATTTGATATTATCTATTTACATGCTGAGGTAAACTGGATTTGACTTGAAGTAAGCACTGGGTTGACAAACTCAAATGATGGATATACCAGGGATGGTTGAGGGATGAAGCAAAGCAAAACAAAAAAGAGGCTCCAGAAATACTGATAGAGATTGATTGCAAGATTCAATCATATTGAGTTTATATGTGTAAGTGTTGTTGTGAAATCCAAACTCGCACATTTTATGCATAATTAGTTATGCATCGTGTCATTCTCGACTATGATCATGACACTCAGTCTATAGGGTTGGCGGCGCCACCGTTGAGCTGGGGGCGCCAAGGCGCGCCTTTTGCAAGCCCTCCAGGGCGCGCCCACTGGTGGGGGCGCCAGGGCGCCGCTGTCTGGTTTTTTGGGACTAAATATGGCGGAAATAAGGATCTTTCCTGTTTTTTGGGTTTTTTTTTTCTTAAATTCCTTGTCAATAAGGCACAAAAAACATTATCAGTCTCAATCATTGGGGAGCCAAACATCCATAGGGTCTCAGCCACCATCAATATATTCAGTTGGCTGGGCTACTTACTCAGGGTTTTGGTCCCTGGGCCCTAGGCCCATAGTACTGCTGGGAGGGCGCGCCTGGGGGGGGTTTTTGGGCATTTAGGCGCGCCCCCCCGTCGCACCCCGTCGCCTCGGGGTGCGACAGCGCCCAGGGCGCGCCCCGTGACTGGCGCCGCCAACCCTACACTCAGATCGATTGTGTCATCTTCTTTTCTTCTGCAAGCAACTGCATCTTTCGCCGATAACTTTCATCTTCCCCTTCTTCAACAGTTGCTCACCACAATCACAATCTTCATCAATCAAAATCATCTGAGAATCATCTGAGGTTACATTCGATCGCTGATCAATCAAGTTTCAACACTCGACTCATCGACCGACCACTTCTAACATTCAGGAGGATCTAGATCTAGCTTCTGGGCAGGTAGCGTGTTTTTATGCTATGCTATCTTTGATTGTTACATGTTATTAACCGTTTTCTTTCCTTATACTTTCAGGCTATTTCGTTGTGATAATCCTCGTGTTAAAGAAGTCGACGTCGTTTTGTTTCGTGTTCTAACTTTGTTGTATTCTGATCTCATTTATCAGGTATTTCTTTCTTCAGTTTCTTATTGTTCAGATCAGATGTTGATCATGTTTACTTACAATTATTTTTTGTTAAAGATTATTACTTCTATTAAGTTTTATAATATTATTTCTATAAAGTATTGATTCAACCATTTTTACAAGTGTTCAATGGGAAAATGTCCTCTCAAAAGCTGTGTGGATTGTGAAAAGGCCACTCGGTTGGACTCATGTTGTTTGTTGGCAGTGAAAATTGTTCAAAAAAGACAGGAAATCTGCCTTGATTTCTGGCAGTCGTGATTATGTAAATGAAATACCCTTCTTCTCTGACTTTATGCATGAACTCATTGGGCCACTAGCTGGATACAGATGTTAAAACGACCAGGGTTGCCTCGAGAAGCAGGACGATGACGTGTGCCCAAGTGCGCTTACGGGCAAGAGGCAACAGATATGTAGCCAAGGACTTGAAGGAGACAAACTTATCACACTCGGTGTTTGATTTCACGATCAGTGCTCTCGTAGAACAACCACAATTTCGCGGGTTTTCCCTGAGCTATCAGCTCACGACTTATCAAAAGAGAGTCTGGATTATTCAAATCAAAAAATCTGTCACCTGTGATAATCATCTCTCTCAGGTTTCACGCCCCCAAAAAGAATTGATTTCAATGAGTGGAGCAAGCAACCGAAGTCAAGACTATCAAAGGATTCATTTACAAAAACGAGATAGAAGGAATCAAGGCAAATGTGAATGAGGAAGGCGCACAAATGACTAAAAAAATGAGAGGTTGACTTCGGGATCCAATCACCGCTACAAATCAGATGGTTTGAAAGAAGAAGAAAAAGGGAGAAAGGAGTGGATCGAAACGAGCAACAGATCAAGAACGGAATGCCATGTATCTCTTCCCTCCGTTTCCGGCGCTTGGTGGAGTTGAACCTCCGTCGCCGGTTGAGCCTCCGTTGCCGGTTGAAGCTCCGTTGCCGGAGGTTGAAGTTGATTTACTTCCGATACCGCCGCTAGAAGTAGATGAGGAGCCGGTAGTTTTCGAAGTGGAACCGATGGGGCCGATCTTGACTTCGGAGAATTCGACTGTTGCGTCAGGGAACTTGGCGCGGACGTTGTCTGGGTCACCGGCTTTGGCGTCACAAGTACCTCTGGCGACTCCGAAAGCGGTGGCTGGCTTGGTGGGTGGGTAGTTGGAGTCGAGCCAGTTCATCTGGGCCATGTGGTCATCCCACAAACTGAAGACCAAGACCATTCCTCTCTCCAACGCAGCATCCATCGCTTTCATACCTCCCTTGATCTTGAAGTCGTTGATGTCGCCAGTGGCCTTCTTGGTTGCGTCACAGAAACCCTGGGTGATTGAATCGGCCGGCTTGGCGAGTCCGGGGATCTTGACGGCTTCGTTCTTGATGGTCTTCCCGTCTTGGACGTAAAGTCTTCGGATTTCAGAGAGCGGCCCGGTGTCGGTACCATCGCTGGTGATGAACTGGGTGATGACGGTGAACTTCTTGGTGGTATCTACCTTCTTACTGGGTCCGTAGAATTCCTTGGCGCCCCATCGGTACGAAGCGAAGTCGCACCCGTCCTTGTCACATTCAGCCTTGTATCGGTCACCGTCCCCATTGCCACAAGCTGCTCCTTTGCAGACCACGGGTTTGGGACTTTTGCAAGGATGGGGAGTGAACGCCTGCGAAACCGAGTTGGCCTCCCAGATGTCCATCTCAGGACAACAGCTGCCCATCTCACCCGTGCCGGAGTTGGGATCAGTCTTTGAAGGGATCCATCCTTTGGAGTTGGCCTAGAATGTGGGAGAAGATGAGCGTCAGCACTTAGTTTTTCAGAAGCGTCGAAAACAGACTACTAACCTTTCCACCGATCCATTTCACATCTTGGGGACACTGAGCGTCACAGTAACCGGTTCCATACTTGGCACCGGCCTTGTTGTTACCGACACCTTTGCCTCCGTCTTCTTCCATGGCGGAGAAGTAAAGGGCGCCGTTGAGACCGCAGGGCAACTTGGAGACGTCGACGGTGAAGGCGAACTCCTTGTTCTTGAGCTTGAACATGAAGTACTTATCTTGCATCGTGAAGTAGAGTCTCGAGCCGAAGTTCTTCGAGTATGGGCCGTTGGTGACAAAGGTGAGCTTCAAGCCCTTGGGGGTCGTGGTGACGCCGTAGGTGTCCTTGTAGCTGGCACCGTCAAGAGCACAGTTCTGGGCACAGGCATCCCCATCAGGACAAAATTGATTACTCCACAAGTTTCCGGTGTAGCAGTTCTTCTTCGTGTCGACGTTATAAGCCCATCGCCAATTGGCGTCGATCGTCGCGCCACCCTTGAGGGGCTCACAGCCCTTGGCGGTACAATTGTCGATGGTAATCTCCGGTGGAACCTCGGGGTTCATCGTACCAACTTGTTGGGAGCGGATCAACGCGAGGTTGGCTAAGTAAACACTAACATAAACGAACCAGCGCATGTTGTAAATTGAAAGCTTTAGAATAAAAGGGTGATTAGGTGAAAGTAAAAGCAAAAAGGCAAGTGAATATCTAAAATGAACAAGTGATCCGTGTTGGGGTGGGGAGGAATGGCGACTGGCGACATGGAGGGGTTTTTATAATGGAATTCTTTGGAGGCAGAGATGTTGTTGAGTGGGCCTGGATGCACGCCGAAGAAACAAGGCTGACATGCAGACGTGATTTCGGTAGACAATGGCGGAGAAATTCCGGGACGTGGGGCGGAAAGGCTTTTCAATCGCTCTAGCAGCAATCCTCAGAAGCAATACACCGTTACTCTAGACTTTGGAGGTAACTACAGGGGTTGTAGGCAACGCCTAAACGACATCAAAGATGGTGGAGTTCAAGTCAATGTAAAACTCAAAGAGATCTAGACGTATTTACGAATCGTCGGAGATGACTTCGCGCAAGATTACATCCGTAATACCCAACGCCTTGCCTGTGCACAATGGTGACGAACTCTCATTACGACCAGTCTCGAATATTGGCGCGCTTGAAGGCTTCGCGCCGCCGTTAGCAAATCGGTTTCTACAGACCATGGCCATCACGCTATGGAGTATGCAGTACAGCGGCAGACAGAAGGCTAAAATTACTACAACAGGGGAAGCCCGAATGTGGATGTAGTAACGGCACACCGGCACGGCTGGCGGGAGAGTCGAGACCGTTCTGCATGCAACTTCCGGGGTATCCTCTCATCTGTGGTGACTAGAAGTTTCTAGCCATTGATGGCTGTGAAGCAGGTGAGTTCCTTGCTACTAGGCAAGCCCGTTGCAGGCTTTTTGCTCCGTGGATGTGGTTGGTATTAAATTGTTGAAATTTTTTGCAGATCAAAAAGAACCACTTGCCCATCCCGAGAAGCAACGATCAAAAAGTGAGACTCAACAACCGCTAGTGATTTCTGTTGCCATGAACTTGTTGCTCGATTTTACAAGCTTGTTTTTTCTGCTTGACTCAGAATCACCCATACAGTGGTGAACACCACATTACTGTAACAGATTTTACAGTGTCCCGAATGTTGGGTGGGAAAATTTTTGAAAAATTCCCTTGGGGATAAGGGTTCCAGTCTGTTAAGGCGAGACCATGGATAAAAATGAAAGATGAAAATTCCCCCAAGGGAAAGATGTATTTCCATCAGAGCACCGCTACTTATATGTATTTTTTGTACGTACAAGCATGTGATGATGAGAAAAAAGAGAAATCAAATGTGTGAAAATATGAAAATAGAAATAAATCCATGAGAAATACGGATTTATTGGCTAAATACATAATGGGTGTTTAACACAGTCAAGCCTAACACAAGCCTCTGAGTGAAAGCCCGGAGGGCAGCCCCGTAAGGTTTCTCTAGGACCCCGGCAAGCCCCCCTACAGGGGGGTATGGGAAAAGGTATGGCAAATGGGCAAAAATCCCAAAAAACCTACTCTTGAAAAAGGTATGAATTAGCATTTTGGACCAAAAACATAATCTTGAAATCAGTCATTTTAGGCATGTGAAACTGGTCAAGACCAGTAAACTCTGGAATTTGGACCACAAACCCAGGAGTTTGTTGGGATTTTTTTTTTGGTATAAGCATACTCTTGAAAAGGTATGAGTTTCCCAAAAAAAAATGTATTGGAGTACCATATGGAGTATGTTCATTGGCTGAACCACTGCGGCTGTTGGATGTGAAATTGACAGTTGTGCAAAGAGTGATCAAAGTTGAAACCTAATGTAGTTAGATTTGGTCACCATCTCATTTCATTCAATTGTAACTTCCTCTTTCTTCATTCAAGTTTCATATCATCATCATTTGCTCATCTTGTGTTTTCATCACTCACATTGCCGCAGTTGTTCTAGGTTTGCTTGAACTTTGCTCTCACTCATCTGTGAGGTCATCTCATCTGACCTATAGTTGGTTCACAAAGAACTTGCATGACCTTTCCCATCCTTTGTCCTTTGGTATGAATTTTGTCAAAATAGGATGGTTCACATCTCAAATTTTTTAGCAGAGTTTTTATTTGAAGTTAGCAGAGGGAATTGAGATCTCACACTTAAAATTAGCCTGCTGCCAGTGCAAGTTAGGCCAGAGTTTAGAAATCAGCAAGCAGAAAGTTTATTACAAGTTAGCAGTGGAAAGTGTGAAATGTGAACTGGGCTGATACAGACTTTTTCAACACCCCCCTCTTGGGTGGCTTGCTGGGGTCCTTTTTATCTAACTTAAAAAAGTCCTCCCTGTGTGGGAGGTTGTTTTTGGGTGGTGCTTAAGTTTGACTGGTGGTGAAGCCACCCCTCCCACAGGGGGGGGGGACTTCCAAACTATGTCAGGGTGGCAGGTGCTCAACTGAGCCCGCCCACCATGAAGAAATTTGAGTCAGAGAGGGGAAAAATTGGCAAGGCCAAAAGCAGACAAAGTCTGAAAGTTAGCTTACAAACGTATTTGAGAGGGCTGAAGTGCTCTTGAGATGAAACTGAGGGAGGCTCAAGTGTCACCTTGGGATCAATTCAAGCAAGAACTGATGGTTTTTAATTTCTTGTATCAAGCTAGGCTCAAATAACTACATACAAGGGGGCCAATTTGTGGTCATGGTATTAGAAACTTCAATGAATATTCAATATAAAAACAAAGATCAAAATATTCTGAAACCTAATTTGGGAATGAGTCACAAAATTCCAACACACCAAAGAAGGCTGGAATTTGAAATTCACTCATTGAATTTTCCAGCCTGTAATTTTGATGCCTTCTTCCAAATGTTACAAGTAGCTTGCAAGACAAGCAAGCTACAGTCTCTGGAACTTATATTTGATTTTCAAAAGATTCCCTCTGGCAAGCACCCCAACATAGTTCAAAATTTTGCCCTCAAAAATTTCAATAAAGCAAACCCAAAAGTTCAAATGATGGTCAAAAGTAATGCTTAAAGATCCCAAAAGAAGCACAACACATTTTATGTGTTTATATTTCTATTTGCATGCATGTATATGCACTAAAACATTTCTGGAAGCCCATAGCTATGTACAGCCCCTTGACAGAAAAAATGGAACCCCTTAATTGGAGTCCAGAGGGCAAACCAATGGCCTTCAATTTATGCTTCCTGGTGAAACTGTGGGAAATAAGTTCTAATGATTCTGACAAATTGGATAGGAAATTATTTTGTAAACATTTTGTGTATTTTTCCCCATTTCCTGACTTTTTTGGTATTTTTCAATCATTTTTCAAAGTAGCTCAGAAAATCATCATCAACACAATTCCATGTGAAAAGAATGATTATGAATGAAAACTTAAAAAAAATTGATCAACAGCTTTTTTAAGCATGTTTTGATTGTGTCATCCACCAGACCAACCCTCCAATCAGGCACTGAAATTGAATTCAATTTCATCCTCAATCCAACTTCTTCAGCTCTCTAAACTTTTGATCATTGATTTTTCTCAATTTTTCATTTATAATCATTCCTTTCACATGCAATTGTGATGCTCCTGAATTTTTGAGCTACTTTGAAAAATGATTGAAAAATGTCAAAAAAATCAGAAAATGAGTAAAAATATAGAAAAACAAATTACAAAACATTGCCCTATCCAATATGTCAGAATCATTCTTTAGAACTCATTTTACAGATTTTCACCAGGAAGCATAAATTCAAGTCCATTGGTTTGCCCTCTAGACTCCAATTAATGTACTTGGGGTGTGCATATGGGCTTAGAGGAAGGTATAAGTAGCATGTGTCCCAAATAATGGCTGGTCCAATTGGAAAACTAAATAATATTCAGAATTGACAACCTCCAAAGAGTCCAAAAAAGACACTTGAAATTTTGTTGTACTCCTATGGTCAATGAACATTCAGCCCATGAGGTCAACTTGCTTTTTCTGTTGAGATAACTATGTTGTGTTATGTACTTACTTCCATAGTTAAAGTTGCTAGTGTGCTTCTTCTTGATTTCATTTCTTACATGTCACAATCTGTGACATTCTTCTTATTCTCTTTTAGTTCTTCTGCTGGAGTCAACATTTCTGGGAAGGATTCTTTTTCCTCATCCTTTCCAACACTATTGTCTCCAGGTGAGTCCTTCTCATTTTTCTCTCTTCTCATCTTGTTCTCTCTTTTGCAGATTGATGAAATAAACTGTTGGAATTTCCGCTGTGGTAGTCAAAAATGTGAAAATTCAAAGTTTTTTTCTTTCTTTTCTTTTATATATATTTTCTTCATACTATCATCCAATCACTCTCAGAAATCACACCATATGGCTCAAGAACTGGACTCTACGGACAAATTCACCCTTGGTCACCACGGAGGCGTCACTGGAACACACCTGGATCAACTCTCACCCAACAATGGACAACATATCACAAGGATTTCACTCATCACTACATTTCACCAATCCCAATTACAACCCTCAAGCTACACAGACACCCTCAGTACAGTACAACCCTCATTTACATACACACTCATTTACATACATCTACACTCTTTACATTTCACTTCTACATATTACATCATACCTGCAGCCTAAATTAGTGTATTTTCCTTGCATGAAAACTGCAGCTTACACCCCCACATTTACTTGTAAACACCACACAACCTGACCAATCAGAATCACTCATTCAGCTGTTTGGATCACCACTTCAACTCTTGTACATGTCTGACCAATCACATTCACTCATTCAACTTATGTATGTAGCTAAAATCCCTCATGTAATAGCACAGGCCAGCCAAAATCACTCATTACTGGCTGCCCTGGAGCTAAATTCCCTCACTATTTTCTATATAAGGAGGCTCTCCTCCCAGTTGTTGTCTCCTCAGTGTATTATTCATCAGTCACAAGCTTAGTACCACTCAATCAAAGATACACCACCTTTACAGAACCTTACCAAACACCAATAACAACAAAACTCATTTCTCAGCATCACACAAACTCATTCCTGAACTTACCCTATCACTTGATTAAAACTTGCCAAGCTGAGCTTGGTGGGTCTTGTTATCTGATAGTATAGAAGGGCAGAGCTTGCACCTCCACCATCCCCTTCTCCATTCAGCAAAAAGGGTCTTACAACCACTTTTTGAGTCTTACAAGGGAGTCCCCAACGTGATAGGATAAACTTGTGTGATCTACATCAAGTAATCAAATTTCAACAAATAACGAGAAGGAATCACCAAAGGATCACGAACTTTAGCGGGAACCGGATCAAATTTATCAACCATATTTGCGACTACTCAGCGGCATATTCAGTTATTCTGTTGATCAACTAGTCAAACTTCAATAAACAATTCAACGACACCACCAACCAACCTCTGAAAAGAAAGTGTAGGAATCGACTGAAACAAGGACTCGAAGAAGACAGCCAGTTATTAACCAGAAGAAGGAAGATTATCGAAGGATCTGGATAACTAGGATACTGTTCAACGACAACTCAGGAAATATTTGAAAAAAAGCAGCTGCTTATAGACCAAAAGAAGGGCAAAGGTACCCAAAGGATTTGGATAAGTAGATTCTGTAAAAAAAGAAATTCCCAGTATTTAACTGATCTATTATTTAAGAAGAAAGCCATAAGCTTGCCCTGGTAAAGAAACCAGCGACCAAAGTTTTATTTGTTTCTTTTTCAAAGCAACCGTTTGTTTAGGTATCCGAGGAGCGTCAAGTAAGGAAAACTAGGAA